ACCAATCCACAGCTCTCGCCACCGTTGTGCGTTGAAGCGCCTGCTGTGACATCTTCTCGGAGCTACGTCCACTTGTTCTTGCTGGTTAAAGGCTCTTTTCGTCCGCACGCATCCGAAAGCCATGGTTTGTTGCTTAGTGGAGGTGGGCTTCGGTTTTAAGCTTAGGGAAAGGGTCTACACCAAAGTGGGTTGGGTCTGGGCGGACGGAGTGTCCTTGGACCCAGCCAAAGGCAGCCTGAGTAGAGGAGTGAGGGGCTCGGGTGCTCGCTGCCCGACCATGAGGATGAAGGCCCCACCCCATGCTTTGCGCTTGATAGGGTTTAGGATCTAGGGTTTAGGGTTTAGGGTTTAGGATATAGGGTTTAGGGTTTAGGGTATAGGGTTTGGGGTTTAGGATTTAGGGTTTCGGGTTTAGGGGGGAAAGCTGACACTCAATGTCAATGAGGCTCTAATGCGAGTATACGCCCAAGAAGTTGCAGCACCTTAGTTGCTTTTGTCGGCCTAGGCTTCGGAGGTCTGGTTCAAGCTGTTGCCATTATGGCCATGATCGTTACTAGTATTCCTGCCTTCGCTAGTACGACAACTTTAACCACAACCCTAAACCCTAAACCCTAAACCCTAAACCTCTAAACCCCAAACCTCTAAACCCTAAACCCTGAACCCTATACCCTAAACCCATAATCCTCAACAAGCGCCCAGCCAACGACATCTTCCGAACCGCACCTCGTTCAGGAGGGCTTTGGAGAGAACCGTCGTAAAGCAGCGGCTCTCCTTCGCTTCGAGGAGAAGGTGTAGGGTTTAGGGTTTAGGGTTTAGGGTTTTAGGGTTTAGGGTTTAGGGTTTTAGGGTTTAGGGTTTAGGGTTCAGGGTTTAGGGTTTAAGGGTTTAGGGTCTAGGGTTCTCGTAGGCTTTTCTGGGCTGTCTCGGGGGGAGGGTGTATTTTAAGAACAACGGCTTCAGGGCTGGGATTGGCTGTTATCGGGCTTCTATGTAACGTAGGGGCCTCAATAACTACCTTTTTTTGGGGGGGGGGGGGGGGGCCCACTATTCGGGCCGCCACATTACATATCCTAGAGGAGACTCTATAGTCTATTTATGAAATAGACTAGATATCTTCTTCTAGGCTAGTACATATCCTATCAATTAACAGCCTTAGACGGTTCTTTGGGAGGTTAGAGTTTGCGTTGCGGGCTGCCGGGCGAATGCGGACAACTCACTGACAACTCCCTCGCCAGAAAATGAAAAGCCCAACAGGACCTGCTCCAGGCTAATGATCAGCGAAGCTGAACACCGGCGACAAAAACATTCTTCTTTGCTTTTATCTGCGCATCTTTACATACAGGCTGGATGAAAGCCAATGGTTTTACAAAACCCTTATTCATCCCCAACTCTAAACTCTCAATCTTACGGCCGAGACCACAAAACTGAACTCTGAACAATGGACTTATGGCATTCTTTCATGGTTCAGGCCGCGAGTCTCAACCTGGATCATGTTAGCATGAGTTTAGCATTGCCGGTATGGGTTTAGGGTTTAGGGTTAAGGGTTTAGGGTTTGAGTTTAGCATTGCCGGTATGGGTTGCTTTCTCATGCTTGTTCTGGCTGCATGTCGGGGTTTCCGAAAATAGGGGACCCTAATATAGTACCCTGAATAATAGGATCCTTATTAATTATTATGAGGACCCCAAAATAAGGTACCCTGATTTTCGGAAACTCCCATGTCGGCTATTTATCATTTATGCGGCGGGCAGCAGGGCGGCTGGGCAGGCGAGTGGCTGAGAGTCATTGGTTCGTTATGGTCCCTTTGCCATATTTTCCGTTTAGAGTTCAGGGTTTAGGGGTTTAGGGGCTTAGGGTTTATAGGGTTTAGGGGTTTAGGGTTTAGGGTTAAGCCCGAGTTCTGGGGCCGTGGCCCAGCATAGTCCCCGGCACCCCCAGTCGACTGAACCAGGCAGGCATCGTCCTGGGGACTCGTTGACTTTATTTCGGCTCATGACTTACAACTTACCCCAATTAATAGAGTTTAGGGTTTAGGCTCCATGTGTCCAAATCGAACATGCTTTGGCCTTGAAGTAGTCCCGGTGAAGTATTTTAGGGCCAATAATATACTAGCTGGGTACGTGGACCCTTAAGGTTCATAGAGGCTCATGGGCTGACCGTAACTTCGCTGTGGGGCTCTTACAACAAACCCTAATCTAGAATTGTATGGATAGGGTTCCTAACATGGCCTTTTTAAGGGTCCAGGTAGGGATTAAGGGTGGAGGTCTTCGGGAATTTGTGTTGAGGGCTTAGGGTTCAGCAGTTTGTAGGGAGTCAGGGTTTTCGGCAAGAGCTGCGGTCTTTGTGGGTGTGGGGTTTAGGGTTCGGGGCCTGAAAGGGATGAGGGTTCCAGGTTCATAGGAATTGGCGATCTACCTATAGTCTCCATTGTAGTTCCTTTTTTCGGTTTAACCAGTCTTATATTTAGGATCCTATAAGGTAACCCAGGAAGGAACTACAATGGAGACTACAGGTAGGTTTTGGGTACTTGTGGTGTCAAAGGCAAAGATGACTTCAGGATCTACGGATGAAGCACCCTTCGACTGCAGTTTGCGGCTCATCTCTCTGCTACTTAGACCTGGCGTTCGAAGATAATCAGGGGCCTTAATCAGAGAAACCGACTTTCAATTTGGAGTATAACATGGCAAAGTTCTATAGAAACCATAATGGGCTACGACGCCTACTACTCAGTAGGGTTTTCATGTTGAGCGGCTATTCGCAAGAGCGGATGATGCGTGGCCCCCTATAGGGTTTGCTGAGTGCCAGGCCTGGGTAGTTATAAGTGGCGTTTTAAGGCCCTTTATGGGGGTTATAACTATATAGATACCCCAATCATAACCCCACTTATAGCTACCCAGACCCTAAACCCTAAACCCTAAACCCTAAACCCTAAACCCTAAACCGAGCTACCCATGAACCTCCAAGTAGGGATTGCTGAGTGCCAGGCATGGTGGATCCACTGCTCCACTGGCGTAAACCTTGGCTTCGGCTCAAAGGTTCACGGGTGTAGGGTTTAGATTTCTTTTTTCGGGTTTAGAGTTTAGGGTTCTTCAGGGTTCAGGGTTTAGTTTTTTTTTTCGGGTTTAGGGTTTACGGTTCTTTAGGGTTCAGGCCTAGGCATGTCCATATCCAGGGTTGGGGTAGTCCAGATTTAGTAAGGGCATGGGCCCGGGTGCCTGCCCAAGGCCAGCTGGCAGATCAGTCAAGTAAGAGTCACTGGCATCCTGCATGTTGGGATGTTGCAGAAAAGTTTGTCAGAATGTTTTTTTGGTCAGCCAAAACATATGATTTTGAATTTTTTTTTTGTGCATCTAGACTTTTTTGCTTCATCTATATGTGGTTTGCGACTGGTAGTGCTATGTGACAGTCGGAATTCTGATTATGGTCAAGCACACTTTCTGCTTCAAACCCATGCTTGAGTGAGCCTGCGTGTGATGATTGGCTTGGTTGTTTTGCGATGTCGTGATGTCTGTTGTGCATGGGCAGACTTGGTTTGTTGAGCATGCATGATGTGCTTGGTTGATTGTTTTGCGATGGCATGATCATAGCTGCACATGTACCAACTTGATCTGTTGAACATGCATGTTATGATTGATTGGTTGTTGTTGAGCAATCATGATACTTGTCGTGCTTTGGCAGGCTTGACTGGCGAGTTGTCTGGAGAGTGGCTTGGTTGTTTTGCGATGTCATGATGTCTGTTATGCATGGGCCGGCTTGATCTGTTGAGCATGCAGGATGTGACTGGTTGGTCATTTTGCGATGTCATGACCATTGCTGCACATGTAATGTGCATGCATGTGAGGACTGGACGGTTGTCTTGAAGCTGCCCTGTAACACATGATGTTGGCATGCATGGACCACTGTTCTTGCATATGTGATGTGATTGTGTTGCAGTGTCTGATCTTGCCGTGCGGGAAGCAGTGCACAGAGCATGTTGATTTGCACGTGTGCAGATCCATCTTCGGTACAGTGCCAGACACTTGCTTTGACGATGCTTCGGTCTTGCAATGCACACGAACACTAGTAAGATGCAGAGAAAAATAAAGAGATAGCGAGAGTCAGAGAGAGCATCTTCGGTTCGATTGGATTCGACGTTTTTGAGGTACTGAGTACTGCATTTCCAAATCTCCAAGCCTTGTATGCTCGAGCCGTGATAGTGAAAGTGTTAATCATCTTCTTGAGCTGCCAGCTGCCATGCAGAAAGCCCAGAGCAGCGAGATTCCAACATCACCGAAAACAATGACTCCTTCCTCAACCGTTATGCAGAATGCCGAAGCCAAGAGCAACGAAAATTCGATGTCACAGAAAACAACGACTCCATCCAGAGCCTCCATGAAGAAAGCCAAGAGCAACGAGAATTCGCTGTCACCGACAACGGCGACTCCAGTCAGGAAGCACAATTCAACGATCATTGCCACGCCGCCGACAAGAACACAGGTGACGACGCCGAAGGCACCCTCGAAGAGGAAGCGACCGAGTCTGAGCATCGTGGAGGAAACAGAGAGTCCATTGCGAGCATTTCCAAAGTTCAAGTCGAATCCGTAGCTGATGTTGTGTTTTGCTGGTTCACGCTGCCTAGTCGACCGACGACAAGCAACCAGATGCTGATGATGTGAGCTAAAAATCAGAAAGCCTTGTGGGCCTTGTTGCTATTATCTTGACTAACTTGCTTTGTTTTGCATTCTGCATGACAGTTGAGTACTTTGCGAGAATACTTTATCAAGGGCTTGTCTTGTTCGCTGCATTTGTGAAGTAATGCTAACATAGTCACGACATTATTGCAGATCAACGCTCGATAATAACAATGATAGCAACACGTTGCAGTCAGATTGCCTCACATTGCCTGATTATTGTGACATGTCGCCTTGAGCCTTGAGACTTGAACTACATGTCAATTGCTGAATCGTCAGTGTTGTTCTGGTAGAGTTGAGATGAATTCGTGAATTCGCTTGCTGCCTGGGCAATGGCAGAAACAACTTGTCGGCTACTGCGGCTGGCAAAGTTCTGCATGATTCGTGAACATGTAGCACATGAGCACTCTCCATATGTGTTGGCGCTGCCGGAGCCAGAGTACCTTGACGAAAGACATATTTCTTCTGCAAGGGTAGGGGCGGGTAAGTGCATCGCTCGCTGGATAATGCGTCGGCAGTCGGATGTGGGTGACTGACAAAGTTTGTTGACCTAGGTGGGTTTCCTTCTTCGCGAGTCTTCATCATGGAGCACAATCAGCTTCCAAGAAGTACGGACTCCAAACTTGGTCGAATCTCATACGTCAATGCCAGGACGGGTTAGGTTTGGTAGGTTGGTCGATTGACGATTGAGTCCTGCTGCTGTTATGGCTGTTGTTGGTCATGAGTCATGAGTCATGAGTCATTGGTCGTTGCTGCAGTTGCTGCTGCTTACAGGAGAACAAAGAGAACTACTTCGGGATGGAAACAGCATTCTTGCAATCAGCTGGTGGTACTTGCCTTTTTTCGGTTGTGATGATGCAGACTTGGCCAAAATTTGGGCAGAATCTTAAAGCACTCATTGAACAAGAGATCAATTCTAGGCTTGGGTCTGGTCAGAAGCCGTTGGAGTGTGATCACAGCAAAGCAGCGCGCGGAAGTGGAAGCTTGAAAAGATCGGCATCCGCTGCATCCTTGAATTCCTTGAGGCAATCTGCTTCGTGCAGTAGCTTGCCCAGTGTGGTGAGTGAGGGAACACATCACGATGCCAATGCCGAAGTTTCTGACGCATCTGCGCCTGCGTCATCAGCGGCAGACTCACAAGAGAGCCAGATTGTGGTGCATGGGAAACGATTGTCTTGGAATAGGGATCTGGCGCCACACATGGACACGTGCCACAGAAGCTTCCTTGTCAAGCGGATCAACGACCTTCAAAAGAAGCTTACGCTGTCCAAACAGGAATTGGCCAAGGCGAAGCGTGAGAAGAACAAATCCACGAAACAACTGGCTAATCTACAGCTGCAGATCCACAACAAAGCGCAGGCAGACGAACAAGTCCTCACTGTTCAGAAAACACCAAAAGGTGTCAGGTTCACTACACGGGGGTACTTGGCGATGGGGATAAGAAAGGCTTTGGCGATCACATCTGCACTGGGGTTTCCCATGTCTGCACTCGTCGATGCTTCCCGGCAGACGGTTGTCCGTTGCGAGGTGTGTGTATGGAGTGTTCTTGTAGCTCGTACGGGGTGCTTCCATGAGATGATAAAGCATCGGCTACGGACACTGGCGACCATTTACGCATGCATGAAGAAGGCTGCTGCCGAGCAGAAGGATCGTTCCGACATCAACGCTGCTCCTGCTCATGCATTGGTTTCAGCTGTTCGGCAGACGAGTGGCTCAGAGTTGCACGATGACATATCGAGATTTGGTGAGGAAAACGTGGTTTCCAGCGATTTGGGTCTGGTTCCTAGCTTCGCATATGGTGACACACCATCCTCATCATCCTCATCCGTACCAGACACAGTGTCTAGATGGTTCTGCACGGGATCTGGTGGCGGTGTCGCGTCGGAACAACTGGAGCGAGTCTTTTGCCTCGGTGGCACTGCGTTTGCGGGCGATGCTACGAACAGTGGCATTTGGCGGCGGAATAAACTGCAGGGATTGCTGCTGACCTCTGCCTGTATGACGGACTCTGTTAGCCTGTCACACCCCACCGAGTACATGAAGGCCTTTGCATTTCACACCACAGTGATTCTCGAGCTGCATACGCTAGCTGCTAAGGGTCCCGATCGAAGGTCCAATCAGGGTTCATGTTCGTCGATGGTCGACTCGGAGTCGACTCGACCTTTGTTGTGGTTTCTTGTCACGTAAGCCATGGGCCATGCATCCATGTGTGTGAGTGTGTGTGTGTGTGCGCTTGCAGTTATTGATTTTCTTGCGCTGTTTGGAATTCGTAAGTGTGCTTGAGGCTTGCATTGATTGATCTGCCTGCATTGATTCGGACATGAGTCGGCTTGAGCTTAAGTGACGGCTTAAGTGACGTGTTTGCCAGTGTCAGTCTCAGTCTTATCTGAACTGAGGTGCGACCTGCAAATCGTGAACTCTGGCACTGCAGCCAACAATCTGGCAATCGTCCTGAAACAACTTCGGACAGCCAAATGCCCAAACTGGGAAGACTTAGCAGACATGTTCGAGCAACTCTCAATACATTAGATAATCTACAACTTGTTTTTGTTTAACTTTTGTGCTGTGTTGAATCAGTAAGAGCCAACATCATCTTAATCGTCTTGCCAAAGTCTGTAGCGCTGCCTCTTAGGCGTGGTTTCTTGCCTCCGTGCTACATACACATTTGGTCTTTGGCAGGAGATTGTGGAACTGATCAGACAGGGATGAGATCGTCACTGCGCACCCTTCTTGACAAACCCAGGTATAGAAACCAGTGGATGATTGAGCAACCATGCTTGAAACACCAGTTGCACTTGATTGTCAAGGAGAGTGTCAGGTTGATTAACAAGCTTCTTGCAGCTCATGGCAGATCGTGGGGTTATTTTGGTGCCGTTGCGAAGATCTGTCACACTTGGCGTGCCCATGGCGTCAAGATCAGCAAGACATGGCAAGTGCTGATCCCGAAACCTTGGGAGTACAAGGGAGCCAGTCGGGTGCCGCCTCTGGCAGTTGCAGGGAGATGGGGATCAATTGATTGTTGCATGACCGCAAAATCTGAACATGTGACCTTTGACTTTTGAGGACCTTTGACGTTTGGCTGTGCGCTCATGTGTGTGCGTGTGTCGCTTGTGCATGAAGCTGTTAGTTGTCACTTATTAGGACCAGTGACCACTGACCACCATCGACTACTTAGGCTCTGAGGAGTTCTTGTTGACGGGGCCTCCGGACTTCGTGGTCAGAGTTTTCATGGCTACATTTGCAACTCGAGCTTACAACGACACATCAGCCGCAGAAGCCAACGATCCAGAGCAAGCCGTTCTAGCCGCAATCGCTGAGTGTGATGATGAGCTTGGTATGGAAGAGGCTCAGGAATACAGGCAAAAAGTCACGAAGTGGATTCGTGGTTCGCTGCAATGTATTCAAGACAGTCTGTTTTGGTTTGTCATGGCAGCTGCGTACAAAACACGCGAACCGGTGCGGCACATGTTCGGTATACTCTCCAAGTACGCAAAGGCTACGTCGGCAAGAGTGAAATCACCTTATGCCCATCCATGCCCGTGCGATGATTTACCTATTGTCGATTTCGTAACGAGGCGGCTGCAACAAATCGATGCTGAGTTCATCGCGCTCCGGACAGGGATCACAGCATGGACCAAACAAACAATAGAAAACCTGCAGGGCATGCTCTGCTGGAACAACGAGAATGCTGTCAGCCCTGAAGAGTTGGAGGCACTCGCTCTCAAGCTGCTGTTGCTAAACCATGCTTCATTTCAGCGGCGAATTGTTTCGCTGTTTTCGAAGCCACGTGTTTGCAGATCTGGGACGATTTGATGATGTCAGTCTTGGCTTTGGTTCTAGCTAACTAATTAACTTTTTTCAGTGGAATCTGTAATGGTCCTGCATGCGTGGCAGTGCAGTGCAACGGGATGTGTGTTGCGAAGTTGAAGCAAATTTGTCCGAGGTGGCCATTTCGTTTGTTCTGGTTCCTGAAAGGTGAGCCCACACAAGCTTGTGATGTGCGGCGAGGTTGGGCCTTCAACAAACCATGAAAAACAATCTTGATGTTTGGCTTGTGCTGCTTGTACAAACAGGGACACTGTGTCGCGGTAGGCTAGTGTATGTCAATGCGGTGTGCCAGGTGTAGCTCGGGAACTGCTCGACGCAGACATCTCTTCCTTGGAGTCGACAACAAGGAAATTCAGAGAAGCCTGCCAGGTGGAATTGCAGGCGACAGCTGTGAACGGTTGCGTACGCTTAGATGGACGAACTCGGGGATGCCTCATTCTGGCCGCCGGACTCATACGACTGGATATCCAGGAACTTGAAGGGTTAAACAGTATGGTGAAAGTTGCTGTAGCCCGTAGCAACAACAACAGAATCACACTCGAATTGCTGACGGCGCGTGTCTGCACGCGAAAGGTTTTGGCATTGCACACGGACGGGGCAATACGTTACAAGAGTGTGATTCCATGTGCAGCCTCATTGGCCCGCAGTGCCTACTTGCACTATGGCAACCACATTGATCTCCTCAAGGACACATCTCGCTGGGAGATTTGCCGTGACGGCAACCTGCATGCAGGCGACCCTACCATCTACAACCCCGCTTTGCAAACAACTGCAGAACACAAATGGGCCATGAAATACAACAGTCAGCTGATGAAGCGTTTGCGAGCCCACGACAAGGACAGATTGCGGCTGAAAGACAGTGTTCTCTCGTTGGTGCTGCCTGGCCCGGCAGCACAGGTTGATGCTGAGAACGGTCACGGTCACAATCCAGCATCAGAGGTTTGGATCTGTTGTGGCGTCACGCGATCGCAAACCATGATGCTGAACCCTGATTCGGGAAAGTTCCAGCTGTCGGTTGCTCTGATTGCGTCCTTGTACAAGCAGGTGGAATCGGCCGGAAAACACATCAAGCTCAAGCTGCACACACAGGTCTTGACGTCATCAGGGGGGGTGTTGAGGCAGCAGGGTGAAGCCAGCTTGTTGTGTGAACTGCGGGGCCGTTACAAGCGTGAAGCTGGGTCTCGGGATGCAGCAGGTATACTTGCAGATGGGGATGACGAAGAGGAGGACATGTCTGGGGAAGATGATGAAGAAGTTCGACAGGTGGGTGACTTGGAGAACATGAGCAAGGATGATGAGCTCAAAATGCTCATGGGTTGGGAAGATGAACTTTCCAACGATGATCTCGAACCAGGTAATGACGACACATGCAGCGACGTAGGCAGCGAAGATGAACACATGTGCGAGCTAGAGTCTCTTAATGTCAAGATGGCGATCTCAGCAGCCAACCAACAATCTGAGGCGGACTTTGAAGGTTGCACGGAACGTATTGCTGAGGATTGCGACTGCTTAAAAAGTGCAGTTTTCTCGACGCTGTCGCCAGTGGAAGCAGAAACCGAAGCATACTTACAAGAAGTACTGCTGAGCAGGCATCATATGCACGCTGAACAGGGTGAAGAGGCACCAGCGCCAACATCAAGGGCATCACCAAAGGACACAGTGTCAGAACACCATCGTGATTCCTTCAGGCCCCTGTTCAAACCAGCTGCTTCAGCTGTGGATGATTTCCGAGCAACGTGGAGACATTGTTTTCAAGATTCGTGTAAAGCTTTGCAGTACATGCATGAGAACTCGAAGCGACAGCTTGGGGACAATGGTAGCTTGGATGCAATTGGCTTCCATGGCTTCACTTGTGCTGCTACTCGCTTGTTTGTTCGGCTTGTTGTATTGCATGCATGATCGTACCTTCGAAATGCTGCTGAGGAGAGTTGTCTTTGCTGATGGAAGAAGATAATGGTTCCTTGAATGTGATCTTGGTGCAATGGACCAAACAAAACTTGACAAAAGGCAGGTTGGTTGAGCTTGATGAATCCAACTGTCTGATTTGCCCCATGAACTTTGTACCGGCACGGGCTTTCCCACAGAAGCATATTCTGATTCCATGTGTTGGTGAAGGAGTTCGGAAAGTTCGCAAGGCACACCGTCCAGCATTGCCAGCATGTCCTTTGAGAATCATGCACATGTTTTCGACGGCCATACAACATCACAGCGCCAGTGAGAGTGCTATTTCCTTTGAGGATGCCGGTGTGTCAGCATGCAAGATTTGCAGCATTGCCACGTCCGATGTCTTGACATGTGCATGGTGTTTGCAATCAGTGCACCGAGCTTGCTGCAGCATGCTGTGTGACCGTGATGCGACCGGCGGTGTGGAGTCATGGTTGCACGTTGATCAGCAGCTCACACTTGACATGATGCCAACCATGTTTCTGGCGCCATCTGATCACACAACGCTGGCGTCGTCGTCCTCATCTTCTTCGTCGTCAGCAGGTCCCAGTCCTTCTCCTTGGACATCGTCAGTTGACTGCAACAGAAGCATCAGTAATTGGAACGGTGTATTGCAGCAGAGTTGCAGGGTTGCACTTCTTGTGCGTGTGTTTATGAACAGTTGCCTTGAGGTTGCTTGGATTCTTGAACAAGACTGAGACCAAGACGTGCATCCCAAGACTGCAGCAGTCACCTGTGCTCTGTGCTTGTTGCAAACATGCCATTGCGTCGAAACTTGGGCTGTTTGGTTGATTGATTGTTGATGATGTCGGCAGCTTCAGTGATACAGTGATACATGTACTTCTTGAGGTGTTGCAGTATGATGTTGCATGTTCCGCAAAACCGACAGTCTTCTGTTGCAGTTTGCTCTATGCATACGCGTACATCACCTTGGACCAAGGATCCTTGTGGCCTGAGCAACAACACACTGTACTTCACTCTGAGTTTACATCGACAAAAGTGCCTTTGCTGCGGATACACTTAGTTATGCAGCTTAATGTCTCTTGGTCTTGCCACATGATTTGTTGGTTGCCTATGTGCTACATGCTGCATGCGTGCGGTTGCTGCATTGGGTACTGGTGGGTGTGCTAGCGTCGACGTGACAGCGGTGACAACATGTAGTGATTGCAGTTTCCTGCTGAACTGAGGAGCCTGGTGGCACCAATGGAGCTCGCTCCGCACTGTGGGTGTTTCTTGGCTTGAAGTTGTGAAAACAGTCTGTGTAGTCTGCTGCCATGTCCGCATGTGTTGTTGCTGCATTGCTGCACTGCCTGGAGCAAGCGTCATGTGCGGTGTCAGCCTGCCCAAGCCACAGCCACAGCGCTAAATCATTCACATGTCCACTGATCACGCAGACTCATGCAAATCAATTTCAGAGATGTTTCGATTTAAAAAAGGTCTGTGGCAGTGTGTGCTCGTGAAGGCATGTGCAGATCTCCAAGTGCAGAAGTCTTGAACTTGCTTTCGGTGCACAACGTTGTTTTGCTTCGCGTGTAGTGCGGAGCCGACTTGCCAGCCATGACATCGAAAGAGATCCCGGAGACCCCAGCACCCAAGCTGCTTCCAGTCTCCAAGCCAACTCCACCGGCAGGTCCGCCGCCGCTGAGACCTACTCCGCCTGCTTATCCACCGCCGGCTAAAGCCAATGTCCCCGTCAAAAAACAGCCGGCACGAAGAGGAGATGATCGGTCCCGCACACCGCGGCCACACACTGCAGAGCCCACGGCCAAGGCAGCTAAGGCGAGTGTGTCACATGAACCACCAGCAGCCGCAGCCAAAGCGAAAGCGGCCAGAGCATCCCCTTCCAGGTCGCCGCCTCCGCCACGACCCCCTGCAGTTCCACCTGTCAAGGCGGCTCCTCCGCCTGTCAAGGCGGCTCAGGTTCCGGCTCCAGCGCCTCCGACACCCCCACCAGTGCCACCTCCACCGCTTCCGCCGCCACCGCCGCCAGAACAAGATCTGTTGACATTTGGTGGCGCAAGACCGAACAATGCGCCAGACACAGGGCATCCAGCAGAGCCACCGCCAGACCGCGCACCGCTGCCGCGAGACCACGCACCGGTGCCAAGAGCTCCTGCGGTACGGGCGCCATCGTTGCCGCGATCAGCGCCATCCGGTGCTGCTGCAAACCCTGGCGCAGGCACGAGCACAGGTCACCGACCAAACATGCCAAACATGGGCATGCCGGGTGTTCCGTTGCCAGGACCGCTCCCGGCCCCACCGTTGCAGCTGTTGAATCAGCTGTTTCAACTGCCGTGGCAAGTTACCATATACCTCCAGCCGCCGCCTAACTTTGCGTTTCCGCCGATACCTCCACCTGCCGGACCACCTGCCGGACCACCTGCGCACGGACGACCGCCGGGACCTGGTGCACCCGGTCCGCGACCACGACCACCCCCGCCTCCGACGCCTACATCTCCAGCAGATGATCATGATACTTGACTCAGAATGATACTTGAGTATTAAAATTTAGTTTTCGTTTTCGTTTCAATCATTAAAGTAACCATAAACCATAATCAGGATAGTTCGGCCAATGGTCCCGGGGACAACGACGGCAATGATGCCAGCGGCGAGGCACATGCCGCTGATGAGGAGGATGACGGGCCCGGCTCGGACGAAGCGGCCGAGGATCCGGAGAGTGAGGAGTTGGCGAAGGATGCCTCTGAGGACAATGATGGCAGTGGGCATGACTCTCGGGACATGGAGGCGGAGATCGATGCAGTGTTCGGGGAGAATGCTTTGCCAGAGGCCCACTTTGCCAGAGAGCCACAGCCGTACGACTCGAGGCCAGGGCCATGCCATGTATGTGTTGCTTTGCTTGGCAGTCAGTCAGCTTGCAATTGCTGTTGTGATGCTCAGTTGTCATGTTCCAGTTGATGTGCTGCTTTGGCATGATACGTGCATATTCCATGAGCGCTTGTTCTTTGAGTTCATTCTGAAGTGCAGTCCAGTCCAGCGTGGTCAGCATAGTCTTGGATTTCATGTGTCACTCACGAGAGCTTGCATGAACAGGACCGGTGCTGAGCATGTTGGCGACTTCGGCTTTGATCCGTTCGATGAGCCGTTGCAGGATTTTGATGAGGTCTTTGGTCGGAGTCCTTCACCGACTGCCACGGATGTGGGGCCTGAGCGCTTGGCTGCGGGGAATGCGGCGGCGAATCCGAAGCGCAAGGCAAAGCGCTTTCGGAAGGACCGCAACATGGTGACATGTGAAGAGCTGCCAACGGATACAAGGCCAGCAGAGTCGACATCGTCAGGGAGACCAATGGCAGTGCCAGTGCCGAAGCAGCCGAGGAGATCGGAGAAGGAAAAGTCTGAGCTGCTACACGACGTGCCTCTGCAGGTCAGGCGCAGAGACAAGTGATGCGTGGCATGCATGGATGGCCAGGCTGTATGAGTGAGGGAAAAAGCAACGCTGTGAGGTGCGCGAGTCGACAGCTGTGTGCATGGATTGATTGCTTGTTGCTTTACGACTGGAACAGTTTGATTCTTGTGCACTCACATGACCTTGATCTGGTGGCATGACATGACCTAATCATCTGACGTGACGTGCGACCAGTGGACAATGTACATGAGTGCTTGCACAACTGAGGCTCACGGTAGCGGACAGCGTGGCTGCTTGGTGCAGTTCAGATAAGTATCTAAACATTGTTGATTGTTTGTGCCGGTGAAGTTATGTGTGTGCGCGCAACACATCAACACACTGTCAACACGAAATGTTACAATAGATTTCAGGGAGAGTCAATGCTCTGTTTGAGGTAGATGATGAACATCGAGGTCACAGTCTCTTGATTGCACTTAGTGTGACGACCACGTTGTCGATGCTGACAACTCATCAAGCGGTTGCTGGCATGATACATTGTGTTGCTGTGGTTGTCTTGAACATCGGCTTGCCCTGTGATTGCACAGTTGTCAGTGTGGGTGTCAGTTGTTTGATCTCTTGACATCATGGCATGTTGCACAGTTGTATGTTGCAGTGGATTGAGCATGTTGTTTCAGATTTTTAATATCACTAATATTATACATGTTAATATTATTACTAAATATTGCTAACTATTATCTCCAGCATTCCACCCCAGCCCTCCAGCACCCTGCCCGAGACCATCTGGTACAACGAGGCCTGATGATACCAAAAAACCTGCAAACCTTTGGCGCCCCGCCCAAGGCCTTGGGCGCCCTGCCC